ATATGACCTATTTTCCTCGCTAAGCCAAAATCTATGATATGAGCCATCGGATTCCCTTGCTTGTAGGTTATCATAACGTTCTTAATATTTAAGTCCGCGTGTACAAATCCTGCTTGATGGAGCTCCTGGAGTTTATCGGCACAAGAATAAAGGATTTTGAGCCAAGTTATATCACGTTGTCTGCGGCTCCGAATGACCTTATATAGAGTGTTGGGTCCGAGGTATTCCATCACGATGATTCCCTTGTCTGGGTCGGTGCAGATTAGCTTCGGAGCTCCTGCCTTCCCGTCTAGTGTAGCCAGGATAGCAGCCTCGTGGAGAGTGATCTCTCTCCGCTTCCTCATGCTCCTATTCCTTTTCACCGCTACTTTCTGGCCATCAGATTTCTGCACGATGTCTACTACAGCATATGCACCGCATATGCCTTTTCGACTTCATGCTCTGAGGAAATTTGCGTTAAGAAGGGGTCCAACAAAGACAGCGCTGTTATGAAAGTATCGCCTTTCTCTTCATTAACAGGCTTTTTCTCTCGAACTTTTATTATCGGATATGACGACCAATAAAAAGTCTTAGTCTTTTCTTTCCGAATTGCCTTATTCTCCGCTTTTGATATGTAACAAAGGACAGGTATCAAAAACAATACAGCTAATATAATTATAAAATATATCATTATGAAAAAATTTAGTGTGTAAATTACTTAGATACAACTTTCTCGCGGTTTTTGCCACCCAGACGCACACGGTTTCCCCCCCCCCCTATCTCTCTATCTCCTCTCTCTCTCTCTCTCTCTCTCTCTCTAATATATATATTATATATATATATATATATATATATATATATATATATATATATATATATTATAATTTTTGATTATTTTCATTTTTTATGCATATAAGATCGAGCGAGCGATATTATATATGAGGGAACATGTGGGTGCGTGTGAATGAGAGAAATTGTCATAACCCCCCCCTGCCCCTGTGACGCCCGAAGAGGAAGGACCCAGAAGGTCGCCACAGGTGTTCCCTCATTTTTCCAGCAAAATATAGCAAATACAATTGCAATATTGCTACTATTCCACATAATTATCCAGGAGATCTTAGAGAACAGTCAAGAATTCTGCAACAGGTGGCCTATTTTCTCTGTCAATCTCCATTCCAAGGTCTGCCAACGACCTTAGGGAACTCGGAGGTCTCTGCATCTGGTCCAGCACGTGTCTGACTATCTGTGCCAGGGCCACCACGTCCGTTGATTCGTCGAGCACCTCACCGCGGTACATTTCACCAAGGCTTTCCGCTAGATCTTTCCGCTAGATCGTTAAGCCGAACTCTATGATATGAGCCGTCGGATTCCCTTGCTTCATGGAGCTCCGAGGTATTCCATCACGATGATTCCCTTGTCTGGGTCGGTGCAGATTAGTCTCGGAGCTCCTGCTTTTCCGTCTAGTGTAGCCAGGATAGCAGCCTCGTGGAGAGTGATCTCTCTCCGCTCCCTCATGCTCCTATTCCTTTTCATCGCTACTTTTCATGTCCTACAGCACATGCACCCTCATATGCCTTTTCGACTTCATGCTCTGAGGGAATTTGTGTTAAGAAGGGGTCCAACAAAGACAGTGCTGTCATGAATACCTTTCTTTTCCTCAGGCGACCAATTTCTCTCGTTCACATGCACAGAGAAAGTTGTCAGAGATGTGGTTGCTAGCACGTATGTGATTCTTCCAGCACAGTAAAGCAAATACAACAATTGCCGGCTTATTGCCACTATTCCCCAATAAGGAGATCTTCGAGAACAGTCAAGAATTCTGCAACAGGAGGCCTATTTTCTCTGTTAATCTCCATTCCAAGGTTTGCCAACGACCTTAGGGAGCTCGGAGGTCTCTGCATCTGGTCCAGCACGTGTCTGACTATCTGTGCCAGGGCCACCACGTCCGTTAATTCGTCGAGCACCTCACCGCGGTACATTTCAGCTGCATACCAAGGCTTGCGCTGGATCTTCTTTTCCCAATTGGGTACAGGTCCAAACTGGCCAGTCTGACCTATTTTCCTCGCTAAGCCAAAATCTATGATATGAGCCATCGGATTCCCTTGCTTGTAGGTTATCATAACGTTCTTAATATTTAAGTCCGCGTGTACAAATCCTGCTTGATGGAGCTCCTGGAGTTTATCGGCACAAGAATAAAGGATTTTGAGCCAAGTTATATCACGTTGTCTGCGGCTCCGAATGACCTTATATAGAGTGTTGGGTCCGAGGTATTCCATCACGATGATTCCCTTGTCTGGGTCGGTGCAGATTAGCTTCGGAGCTCCTGCCTTTCCGTCTAGTGTAGCCAGGATAGCAGCCTCGTGGAGAGTGATCTCTCTCCGCTTCCTCATGCTCCTATTCCTTTTCACCGCTACTTTCTGGCCATCAGATTTCTGCACGATGTCTACTACAGCATATGCACCCGCATATGCCTTTTCGACTTCATGCTCTGAGGAAATTTGCGTTAAGAAGGGGTCCAACAAAGACAGTGATGTTATGAAAGTATCGCCTTTCTCTTCTTCATTAACAGGCTTTTTCTCTCGAACTTTTATTATCGGATATGACGACCAATAAAAAGTCTTAGTCTTTTCTTTCCGAATTGCCTTATTCTCCGCTTTTGATATGTAACAAAGGACAGGTATCAAAAACAATACAGCTAATATAATTATAAAATATATCATTATGAAAAAATTTAGTGTGTAAATTACTTAGATACAACTTTCTCGCGGTTTTTGCCACCCAGACGCACACGGTTCCTCCCCCCCCTATCTCTATCTCTCTCTCTCTCTCTCTCTCTCTCTCTCTCTCTATATATATATATATATATATATATATATATATATATATATATATATATATATATATATATATATAATTTTTGATTATTTTCATTTTTTATGCATATAAGATCGAGCGAGCGATATATATATGAGGGACCATGCTTTTCTCTGTGGGTGCGTGTGAGAGAAATTGTCATAACCCCCCCCTGCCCCTGTGACGCCCGAAGAGGAAGGACCCAGAAGGTCGCCGTGTCTTCCTCTTGGGGCGTCACAGGTGTTCCCTCATTTTTCCAGCAAAATATAGCAAATACAATTGCAATATTGCTACTATTCCACATAATTATCCAGGAGATCTTAGAGAACAGTCAAGAATTCTGCAACAGGTGGCCTATTTTGTCAATCTTCCAATTCCAAGGTCTGGTCCAGCACGTGTCTGACTATCTGTGCCAGGGCCACCACGTCCGTTGATTCGTCGAGCACCTCACCGCGGTACATTTCACCAAGGCTTTCCGCTAGATCTTTCCGCTAGATCGTTAAGCCGAACTCTATGATATGAGCCGTCGGATTCCCTTGCTTCATGGAGCTCCGAGGTATTCCATCACGATGATTCCCTTGTCTGGGTCGGTGCAGATTAGTCTCGGAGCTCCTGCTTTTCCGTCTAGTGTAGCCAGGATAGCAGCCTCGTGGAGAGTGATCTCTCTCCCTCCCTATTCCTTTTCATCGCTACTTTTCATGTCCTACAGCACATGCACCCTCATATGCCTTTTCGACTTCATGCTCTGAGGGAATTTGTGTTAAGAAGGGGTCCAACAAAGACAGTGCTGTCATGAATACCTTTCTTTTCCTCAGGCGACCAATTTCTCTCGTTCACATGCACAGAGAAAGTTGTCAGAGATGTGGTTGCTAGCACGTATGTGATTCTTCCAGCACAGTAAAGCAAATACAACAATTGCCGGCTTATTGCCACTATTCCCCAATAAGGAGATCTTCGAGAACAGTCAAGAATTCTGCAACAGGAGGCCTATTTTCTCTGTTAATCTCCATTCCAAGGTTTGCCAACGACCTTAGGGAGCTCGGAGGTCTCTGCATCTGGTCCAGCACGTGTCTGACTATCTGTGCCAGGGCCACCACGTCCGTTAATTCGTCGAGCACCTCACCGCGGTACATTTCAGCTGCATACCAAGGCTTGCGCTGGATCTTCTTTTCCCAATTGGGTACAGGTCCAAACTGGCCAGTCTGACCTATTTTCCTCGCTAAGCCAAAATCTATGATATGAGCCATCGGATTCCCTTGCTTGTAGGTTATCATAACGTTCTTAATATTTAAGTCCGCGTGTACAAATCCTGCTTGATGGAGCTCCTGGAGTTTATCGGCACAAGAATAAAGGATTTTGAGCCAAGTTATATCACGTTGTCTGCGGCTCCGAATGACCTTATATAGAGTGTTGGGTCCGAGGTATTCCATCACGATGATTCCCTTGTCTGGGTCGGTGCAGATTAGCTTCGGAGCTCCTGCCTTCCCGTCTAGTGTAGCCAGGATAGCAGCCTCGTGGAGAGTGATCTCTCTCCGCTTCCTCATGCTCCTATTCCTTTTCACCGCTACTTTCTGGTCATCAGATTTCTGCACGATGTCTACTACAGCATA